TCAAATTGCCTAATGAAGCAAAACTCGATACTCTATGCTATATTCACAAGACAGACCTAAAACAAATATTCTGAAGGGGTAAAAAGGTGAAGAAAGAGCAATGTTATACCAGAAAAATGCAAATAAAAAAGAAAGCAAGTTGATATCTGACAGATAAGATTTAGACCAAAAAACATTAAAAGAAGGAGGAAAAAATGACATAGATTAAAATTCAAAATGAAGATGTGGCATATATTAATATCTGTGCACCCAATAATTGAGCATCACTTTTCATACAAGCAAAATAAATCTGTGAGAAAACAGCCATAAATAAGTAAATCCTAATCTTGGTTCTTTACAAAAATTTTTTGAAAAAGAACGCTATTGAAAGACAGCTAGCTAGCTTAATGAAAACATGGTGGTAGTGAGAGATTGGGGTGGGAGTGGGGAACAAAGCATAACACACAGAAATAACAAGGCTAAAATCATCATCAAAATAGAAGCAACTGTAAAAATAATAATGGAGAGACCTACTTTGTACAACTTCATGCAAATTAGTTTGAAAAAACCTAGATGAAAACCCAGATAATTTTCTCTCTTACCAAAAAAAAAAAAAAAAAAAAAAATAGCCTACATAGATCAATTTACCATTGAGGAAATAAAGTACTTGAAAAGACTTGGCATTTTATTTTAGCTGTTAACTAAAGTGTTCTTTGTAGGTCAATGAGGTTAAACTGGTTAATAGTTGTTCAAATCTTCTACAAGTTGTTAAAATCTTCAAATATGATTTTAGGCTCTTCTATTTCTCCTTTAAATCTGCCATATTTACTGTGTACATTTCAAAGCTCTATTATTGTATACCCACTGATTTTGGATTCTTGTATCTTTCCATACAATTTATTCTTTTACCATTTTGAAATATCTCTTTTTCTCTAGTAGTACCCATTGTCTTGTCTTCTTTGCTGACTGTTAATAAATATATAATAGCTGTCTTTTGGTTTTGTATGCACAGTATAGACTTTTTCATTATTTTTATCCTCTCTCTATCATTATATTTCAAATGTATCTCTAATAAACAACATGTAATTTGGTTTTGATATTTTTACCCAGTTAGACAAATGTTGCCTTTTAATTGGATTTTTGTCCATTTATATGTTTTGCAGTTCCTGATATATTTGTATTTAATGGCACATATTGCTATTTGTCCCATGTGTTCTCCATTTCTTTTTCTTTTCACACATTTTTAGATTAATCTAGTTTTTAAAATTCTATATTAGATTTTTAGTTATATATTCTTATACAGTTCCCTTAGTGTTTCTCTCAAATGGCAATGAACATTCTTGATTTCTATTTTATTTTTTTATTTTACTCATGGTTAAAACTAGTACAGTTCCATGTATTTCAGCTGAATTTCAGGCAAGAATAAGAGAAAGGGTCACATCAACCATAAGAATATATAACTGAAAATCTAATATAGAATTTTAAAAACTAGATTAATCTAAAAATGCATGAAAAGAAAAAGAAATGAAGAACACAATTGAGATGATGAGCATATCCATCATCCCCAAAATTCTTTCTTGCCTCTTTGTAATCCTTTCTTTTTGCCCACCCACCAATGGTCAGACATCATTGATCTTCTTTCTGTCACTGTAGATGAGCTTTTTGAGGAATATTTGATATACAATAAACATCAGCTATTTGAAGTGTACAATTTGATAAATTTTTACATATGTATGCATGCACCAATGGAACTATTACCACAGTTGAGATAAGGAACATACCCACCATCCCTCAAATTCTCTCTTGTCTCTTTATTTTATTTATTTATTTTTTTTTGAGGAAGACTAGCTCTGAGCTAACATCTGCCACCAATCCTCCTCTTTTTTGCTGAGGAAGACTGGCCCTGAGCTAATATCCATGCCCATCTTCCTCTACTTTATATGTGGGACGCCTGCCACAGCATGGCTTGATAAGCAGTGTGTAAGTCCACACCTGGGATCTGAACCGGGGTCCTGGGCCACCAAAGCAGAATGTACAAACTTAACCATTGTGCCACTAGGTTGACACCTCTTGCCTCTTTGTAATCCTTTCTTTTTGCTCACCCACCAATGCTCAGACATCATTGATCTTCTTTCTGTCATTGCAGATGAGTTTGCATTTCTCGAATTTCATATAAACCAAAATATACAGTATTACTATTTTTTGGGGACTGCCTTCTTCATTCTTTATATTTATTTTGAGATAAATCTAAGTTGTTCTATGATTCAATAATTTTTTTCTTTTGAGGAAGATTAGCCCTGAGCTAACATCTGCTGCCAATTCTCCCATTTTTTGCTGAGGAAGACTGGCCCTTAGCTAAAATCCATGTTCATCTTCCTCTACTTTATATGTGGGACATCTGCCACAGCATGGCTTGAGACAAAAGTGCCCAGGTCCACACCCAGGATCCCAACCCATGAACCCCAGGCTGCCGAAGTGGAACATGCGAACTTAACTGCTGTGCCACTGGGCTGGCCTCCCATGATTCAATAATTTGTTTCTCTTTATTGCTGGATAGTACTTCATTTCATTACATACCACAATTTGTTTATCCATTCACCTGTTGATGCGCATTTGGGTTATTTCTAGTTTTTGGCTATTACATTTTAAGCCTGCAGAAACATTCAGGTACAATTCTTTATATGGGCGTGTGTTTTCCTTTCTCTTTGGTAAATACTTAGGAATAGAATAGCCAGTCATGTAGTAGGTGTATGTTCAACGTTTTTACACGAAGTTCAAAAACACATAAAACTAGTCTATGAAAGATTTGAGAAGAACAGCGAATTTGGGGGTACATTAATTGGAAAGGAGCATGCTTGGATGCTGGAAATGTTTATATTTTGACCTAGATGGTCATTAAACAGATAAATACTTGTGTAAAATTTATCAATCTGTATATTTAAGATTTGTGCACCTTGCTATAAGTTATACCTGAGTTAAAAAACAATAATAATAATAACGACGATATCTGTCCAAACACATTTCAGAGATGTTGGGGGATAATTGAACATACACAAGATATTTAATGGTATTCGTGAATAATAAATGATCATCCTGATGTAATAAGAGTTTTTGTGGTTTGTGTAAAGTATCCGTATCTATTAGAGATATATATTGAAGTACTTACTGATGAAAACATACAATGCCTGAGATCCATTTAAAATAAACCAGTGAATGTTGGTATAACTCAAAGAAGATTGGTCATATCTCATAATTGTTGAATCTGGATGATGAGCACATTGGATTAATTATATTATTCTTTCTACTTACATAAATGTACATTTTCAATAATAAAAGCTTGCTTTTAAGGCATTGTTTAGTTTAGATTTCCATACTCAGGATATTAACTTCTGGGCTCTTTCCTAAAATGGCTTGGTGAGTCTTCCACCCTCCATACTGTGCCTTTCTCATTAATAGTAGTAACAGTTGCTATTTATTGACTCTTAGCAATCACCAGGCTCTGAAATAATTGTTTTATACATATGAAAGTAAATAGATACGTTGATAGGTAAATAAACAAATTAATTAATAAACGAATTAAATTCTATCTTTCTCTCTAATCAGCTAAAAAGAAGTAGTCTTTGCTTTTTTGTTTTTTTCTGAATCTTGGGAGGGTTGAAACAATGGGATTGAGAAAAAGTATTGAAAGCATCCATGAGCTATTTGATTTCATTGTAAAAATCAGAGATTACAGCCAGAAAAGATTGGAAAAGGTGAGAAGAAGGGTATGAAAAACGAAAGGCAGCAGCAGCCAGTGGCTTCTAGGTGGAGAATTGCAGAATCTAGGAGAGAAGAGGGGAGTTGGGGCCGATCAGCTGGCTGAGCTACGTGAGTGGCACTAGAGAGAGGAGAAAGTGCTTCTAAAAACCTTTTGCACTATGTCATGAGTGAAATCTCTCCTTAGCCTAGTTTTACCCTACAAACAAATTTTAAATTTCCTTTAAAAAAAAATGGTGATCAGCTACCCGATACTCTTATTTCTTTACATTTCCAAGCAAATACATTAAAGTTTCTGAGAAGTCCTGATAGAAAACAACACTCAAAAATTTTTTAATCCAGAAAGTCCAGAATTATTTGACCACCCCTCTCCACACACACACACACACACACACACATACATTTTTTGGCCCCTATGCTCATCTTCTCAGTCTAGTGTTTGGAACACTGTTTGGCAGTGCTTCCTCAGATTTACAATCCACTTCAAGTCTGCTTTGGTTCGAAACCTCTCTCGAAACCTTTGGTTGCCAGGATTCTGCCTAATCTCTTCCTGTCCTGATCTGCAGCTCAGCCTGTGACCATCCAAGTTCCGCTTAGAGGACAATCTTTCCTCTGATATCTTTAACAGTCGTATTTTCAAATACCGCATTTTACTTCCTTATTTTTATTTTGCTAGCAATACATATTTCAATTGGATTATCTTTCTCACAAGTTCCAATTCTGAAATCCTATGTTTTTTTAATTTCATGAAGAAATGTTGCCTCATGGAACAATGTGATGCTGAAGGAGAATGCTCCCTTGGAGTAATATTTCTAAGGGAGAATTGGAAGACTTCTTCCTTTAATAGAATAAAGAATATACTAGCACAACTGGATTTATAACTCAAGTAATTGTGGGTATGCCCTGCCGTAGATCACCTTGGGAAGTTATCTTTTAAATAATAGTAAGAAAACTGGTGCTGTGTCCTTCAAGAAGCTGGAATAACACTTTAGGGACTTTCTGCGTCAGCTCAAACACACAGACGTGTTTGGTGGCAAAGGTCCATAGTCGCAGGACCATACTGATCCTTTCACAGGTTCGGGCTGACTGCTGTTCTGCAAGCTGGACTTACTTGGATATTTCAGTTAGGTCATCTTTTATAAGACTTCATGGAAAGATCCCAAAACAGGAAAAATATATAAAGTGAACATATTTTTCTAAATGAGAAAAGACCAGCAAACCGTCTCTAAAGAATGCCTGAATGTAAAAAAATGGAAACGAGTCAGTACTACAAAATTGACCTATTTATTTAGAATTCATTTACTGCCTTATAATTAGTATTTACATTTTTGTACATGGTTTAGCACTTTTTGAACTAAACCATAACGGCTTGGGAACAGGAACCATATTTGACATGGCTTTGCAACCACTGAATTGCCCAAAGCAGGGACAATAAGTCTTGAAACACATGGTTAATACTGGGAGAATGAAGGTCAGTTTCAAAAGTCAAGACAAATCAACTGACTTAATATGTACCTAATGACCAGAGAATCCTAAGACAAATATCAAACAGTGTACTAAGAAGAATATGATCAAGAGCCTAAAACACGAGAAAGTGACTGAAAAGTATTAAGAGAGAAGCCTTTGGATTTGAACAAAAGAGGAGCAAGGGTGATTTCAACAAAAGCAGTTTAAGTGGAGTTAAGTATAAAATAAACTTTCACATTCAGGATCAGGATGATGTGACAGGGAGAAGATAGATGAGTATTCAAGAATTTTTATCAAATAAGAGAGAGAAACACAATAAAGGATAACAAAATGAAATTATTTAAAAAGATATTGAGAAATTAAAGATGTCAGAACTTGAATACTTAGTACTATTTAGAATAGAAGGGGAAGAAACTGATGAGAAGAATTTGAAGTTATCCTAAGGACAGCTTTCATCATTAGAGATTACAAATAAAATTCAGAGTTTTCTGAACTTTAAATCAGTGGCAAATAGTCTCTCTCTTTCTGAGGCTTGATAAGGTGAAAGATGTGGTTATCATTTGGAGTAGGGATTTGAGGTTCTCGGTCACTGCAATAAACTTTAATCTAAAAACAGTATTGACAATTGCATTGTATTTTGAGGTAATTAAAACCAGTCATTCCCATAAAATTCCTTTTCAGTACCCCATTGTGTAATTGATTTACTTTCCCCTTAACATAGTTTGCAATTCCTAACATTAGAGGCATTTCTTCAAATTAGACAAGAAAACTAGAGAAATATTTTTGAAGGCATAATTTACAAGGGCACAATGCTAAGTTTCTGAAATTCCTCCAAATATATTCATGCAAGATATTATTTATTTTATTTGCTAACATTTATATATTAATTATACTCTTCTTTTTCCAAAGAGAATTTATTTTGGATAAAATCAATGTGAAATCCAAGAATAAAAGTAGAATGAGAAAATATGTGAGTTGAGATATTTGAGTTATTGATAAATTAAGCTTGGTTGAACTAGAGATACCATTAGAATTGAATGAGATTATGGTATAAGTACTGGATTTAGCTAAAATCATATTGACAACAATTAATCAACAGTTTAATTTTACACTGATATGGCACATGTCCCATCCCAGGAATGATGGTAGAAGATCATTTTCCTTGCCATGAAACAGCAGAGATTGGTGACATCACAGTATTTCCATACTCAAAAGTGTGCATTTGTTCTTCTCTCTTCTAAAATGATGTATTCGTGCCTGGATAAAGGTAGAAATTCTATAGAATTTTAGGAACGGATGCAGAAGGAAAGAAAAGGAAAAAATAAAATAAAACAATGCAGAATTCCATATTCAAGTATGATTTGTATTTTCAATACTTATACTAGAATTTTCTTACTTCTTACATATATTTTATCATTCTAATAGGAATATCTTGCTATGCTCATTTACTAATAGTTGCCTGAACTATTAAAATATAACTCTGATTAGTTTCTCTATTATAAATTAATGAAATCATTACTATTTCTGATTAAAAGGCAAAATTTTGGAGGGACATTTGCTGTATAAATTGACTGATTAATCTTTGGATATTTTTATAGAATTCATCTTTGTCTATTTTATAGCAGTCAGAATAAAACAATTTAGTTACTTAGAAATTTGTTTCTTATAATTATCTATAGGACCTCCAAAAAAGTTTAATAAATATTAATGATTTTGAATTTTTATTTTCTTCTCATTGCCAAGCTTATAAATCTCTATTCTTAGAACAAATTACTAGTATTGGATATTAATGAAATATAACCCTCAGATAGAACATTGAGGAAAATATTATCAGTAACTAGTTCATTCTAAATAATTGTTGCAAATAAATAAGGTATTTAGCTTTAAGATGATAGTCACCAAAATTTAAATTATATTATAGGCACATTTTTTTTTAAAAATTCTAATATGTGAGACTTGCATTTGAAATGTATCACTTGATCCAAAGATTAACATATCAACCAATTTTAAGTGAAACAGAGACTTGGAAAATAGAGACATGAAGCTTCAAGCAAGTTTCGTGTTTTTCTCATCTCTGTCCTCTCTCTTCTCACCGTGGGCATTAGCCTCAGACCCAGCCCCTTTCCCACCACCCTCAGTAACTGCACCTCTTCCCAAAGCCCTGATCCAACAGGTCAACCTTAATCTCTAGCCTTAACCTCCGCCTTGGCATGCTGTCCTGTGTGTTCAACAAATCAGTGGACACTTTCATTTTAAAAATGACCACAAATTGGGGCCAGCCAAGTGGCTCAGTGGTTAAGTTTGCATGCTCTGCTTCGGCAGCCCAGGGTTTGTGGGTTTGGATCCTGGGCATGTACCTATATACTGCTCAAGCCATGCTGTAGTGGAGTCCCGCATACAAAATAGAGAAAATTGGCATAGATGTTAGCTCAGGGACAATCTTCCTCAAACAAAAAGAGGAAGATTGGCAATGGATGTTGGCTCAGGGCCAATCTTCCTCACCAAAAAATAAAAATAAGACCACAAATAAATTGTCTAAAATTCAGCTGATTTTCTCCCTCCTGGCAATGTGAGCCAGTCTTGCCACTGCTCAAATTTCTAAAAAAAATACCAATATATATTTATAAAATCTTGCTCCTTTGGTGCAGGTAACTTTGGAAGTAGCAATCTGTCAACTGCCCAGTTATAGGACTTCATGTGTAAAGAAGGGCACATAACTATGGCCTGGTAGGAGACAGGAAGGAAAGGAAAGCCCACTCCCAAGGAGGCCACGACTGCATCGGGTGGTCTGCCTGGGGAAGGGAAGGAACACCACAGTTTTCAAGTAAATAGTACAAAGAGGGCTTTATTTTTATCTAAAAAATAATGACAACAGAATCTATAAAAGGTTCCTGAAGGCATTATTTCCATGGTAAGAAAAAATATAAATAATTCCTTCATGGAAGGAGATTCTAAATAAGCAGCCAAAAATTAACAAAATACCACATTTCTATTTTCATAGTATTTTGTGTCAGGAAAGTCCCAGACTGTCACTATTGAGGATTATCTACTTTTAAAATTGTCATTTAATAGCAAAGAAATGCCTTTTGTGGGTTCTTGGTTTTAGGAAGATATCTTATAGCCTATGCTTCTTCAGAAACACACTCAGCTCCAGAGCCATGTAAATGTTCCAACAGCATCCTTTCAAAATAGAGAGACAAATGTTTCTAGCTCATTCAAACGTAGACACCCAGATGACAAATATAACTGCATATTTTTATGTGATTTGAGGAGGCATTTTTCCTCCAATGCAGAAGGTATAAAAACATGGATTAATTTATTTTTTAAAAAACCTGAAAATAATTGATTTCCTTTGAATTAAAAAACATTCCACAGTTGATCTTGCAAATAAACACAAATTTTGCTACCTAATTACCTAATATTTTCCGTGTCCATCCTGTGTGAAATCATTCAAGGATTTGCACATCTTTTTATCAAAAGTATAGAAATGCCAGCAGCGTGAGAGTCATTTGGGAGCTTGTTACAAATGCAGAATCTCGGGTCCCAACTTGATCAGAGAGACTGAATCAGAATTTGCGTTTTAACAAGATTCTCTGATGATCCAAATGAACATTAAGTGTGAGAAGCCATGGAGGAGATCATAGTGGTAGCAGCCAGAAGAAATCTGATTGGGGTAATTAAAAAATTTGATTCAATGGATTTTAAACAAAATTGCTGGAAATAAGTCATTTTTTGGAGACACGTTGCTTAATTCTGTCTCGAATCTTACTACTTCACTGCTTTCTCAATTTTACCATACTATCTATCTTGTAAAATCTTTCCTATATTATTTGGCTTTCATTTTTTCATATTTGGGGATGTAAAACCACAAACTATTTTTCAAGTATTTCTATACTGTATTGTCTTAAAGTATTATGAGAGAAAAATTGTGAAGAACATTCAGAATCTTAGATAAAAGTGGTCTCGAATTTATTGTTAGCCTTCTGCAATTATGTAAAACTGTTGTACCAATTAGATCACTGTGGAAAGACACTAACTGGGAGAAATATGAGTTATCAGAGTTATCGTCTCCTTTATATTTTTATTATATTTCCCCTGACCCCTGTCCTGCAGCCTCCACTCTGAGGCACATACACGAATCCCAAAAAAGATGAAATATTATTATTGTCCTTTGTTAACACATTTTTCTAGTCACAGAAGTGGTGTCACATATGGGTGGGAGACCAAATGAATGTTCCCCTCAAACCCTTTCCTAGCCTCAATGCACAGCGCAGCAATGTGGTGTAATTTCCCACTCTTTGATCAGTTCCGTGTAATCCCAAGAAAAACTTGCTTTCTCAGCTTTGGATATCCTGACTTCAAAATCTCTTCAGTCTCCTGCCAGATCTAAACTGGAACAGGTTTGAGTGTGACTGACACGAGTGAGAGGAGACTAATCCCTGCCACCCATCATCGCGAAGTTTGCAAAATTAACTCACTTTCTCTGTATCAGTGTAGACGGAAAGAATGAAAGTCGCAGAAATATACATGATTTCACTATTAAGTTTGTTAATTATGCTCACCTCTATTTTCTATTTGGAAAGATATTTGATAGCCGTTTCTGTGAAGAGCGGTCCCAGTTTTCATTAGTGAGTTTTGCAGCTGCTCGGGGTTCCTGGCAGGCAACATCGTTTAAGGCTGTGTAAGTCTAAAATGTTTTCCCTAACGTTTCAGTTCATATTGAAAACAGACACACACTCTTGAATGTTTAAAGCAGAATTGTTTCTGGCCAAATTTTCAGCGTCAACACAAAACGCTGCAGAAGAAATTACATTTTAGTTTTCTTTTCTTCTTTGAGGATTTCAAAAATCAAGAGAAAAAATAAAGGAAGAAAGAGGTGGAGGAAAAAGAGAAGAGAAGAAAGAAAAGACAATCTATATCTTCCACATATTTTAATCCAAGTTTATGAGGATTAATTTTAAGGAAATAATAAGAATCTATTAAGTTTTCCCAAGGAAGTTAATTGAAATTTAACATTTAAAGAGGCTTGCTTCTAATAATGTAAAACAAAAACTTTTGTAAAGACAAGTTAATTCTTACATATCATAATTCACTCTCTAGTGCCTAAGTGATTAATCAAAGAACATCATTTCAATGATTTTCTTCCACAGAAAAATTGAGTGGCTTGATTATCAAGAACAGCAGAAATATATTACAAAAATGAAAAAAATTCTTATTGAGGACACATACAATTTCTAAAAATTTTATATTTGAAATTTTTTTTGCATTATTCTCAAAAATATTTGTGTCAGTAAAGTTTGTTAATAAGATATTTCATAATAAGAATGATTCCTTTTAAAAAATGTAAAGAATATTTAGTAATATTCCAAACCATGTAATAAGAATGTCTCTCATCAGTTCAGAAACATAGAATCTATTTTTTTAAAGATTGGCACATCAGCTAACATCTGTTGCCAATCTTCCTTTTTTTTTTCTTCTTTTTCTTCTCTCCAAAGCCCCCCAGTACATAATTGTATATTCCATTTGTAGGTCCCTCTGGCTCTGCTATGTGGGACGCTGCCTCAGCATGGCCTGACGAGCAGTACTGGGTCTGTGCCCAGGATCTGAACTGGCAAAACCCTAGACCACTGAAGCAGAATGTGAAATTAGCCAGTTGGCCACGGGGCTGACCCTTTAGAATCTTCTTTATAGAGAGAGTTGGCCTTTGAAAATCACAGTTAAAACTTTGTATTGTTTTGAAAATTTTCTCTTTCTAATTCTATTTTAATAGAATAATGTAGTAGATAATTTAGAATAACAGATTTTTTTCTCCTTTTTAACCATAAAACAATTCATTTGCTATGAAAATGAAATGACAAGGCAAATGAAGAAGTGAGATGGTACACGTGACACCCAGTTAAGCACATGGAAGTGATCAAACTTACATTTTATGAGTGTGAGAATGATGAAAGACATTTGATTATGACCAGAGAGTAATGGGCACATGCATATTGGGATTCCAGGGCTTAAATATATGGAAGCTATTTAAAGTGGAGGAAGGAGAAGCTGACCAGTAACTAACCACGTAAAGCTAGGATCATTGAACATGTTATACTTTCAGTAAAAAAGAGCTAGAAAGTATCTGCCTGTTGCCAAAATGAGACTAAAAGAATCCCCATCTTTCTCTGTTGTGCTCTGGGTGGAAAACTTTGTCATCATCATCATCATTTATCAACAAGCTCCAAATTTTGTCACTGTAAGCCTGCTCCCAGATGGATGAGAAATTCTAATTTATATTACCCGCCCCACCACCACCCCTTGGGGAATCCCAAACCAAGAAATAATATTAAAGAATTTCTAGTTTGCAGTGTCCCTTGATGCTAGGAAGAAACAAAGGTAAAACTTCCCTGAGGAAAGCATACTCAACTGAGGTCCCCTGTAATTGTCACAAGTTAAATTCTCAGCAGTCAATATTTGTTCAATTACATATGAACAAAAAAAAATTATATATAAAACGAAAAATAATAGGCCACCATGAGAGAAAATCAATAGAAAAAAGAAGAAATTTAAGCCATCCATAGGAGAAAATAGCATTATCAGATAAAGAAAATAAAGTAGATCTATATCAAGCAGTTTAAAGAGATAAAAGGTGAAGTCAATAAGCAGAGTAAAGGGACAACCAAAATGACCAGGCACAATAGAAAATTAGTCAAAGAGAACTTCTAAGGGAAGAAAAAAATCTTGTGAAGAATGAGAGAAAGGACAAATGATACACAGCTGAAGAGACGATCAATAACCTGGAAATTGAGGCTGAAAAAAGTTCCCAGAATTCAGCATAGAAAGGTAAAGAAACAGGAAACATGGAAGAATGTTGAGACGTGGAACATAGAATGACAAGTTCTACTTCAATATTGTGATGTAATAATTATATATTTGGTCTTCGTGCCTCATTCCTGGCAGAGAGTTCCTAAAAGTTTTGAAATTCCCTGAGTGATAGGGGTGATAGGAACATCTTTTGTTATAGTATTTGGTCTCTGTCTCTCTGGTACCCGACAAAAGAGCCTCTAAAACCCTTAGAATCTTTGAATGATGAGTCTTTTTGTATGCCAACGAGAGGACTGGTGTCTGGGGGCCCCTAGATAGCTTCAAGATAGGAGCTGGTCACAGAAAGACCAACCATGTTATCAGAAATTAGAACTTTCAGCCCTAACCCTGACCTCCAGGGAGGGGAGAAAGGCTGGAGACTGAGTTAATCACCAATAGCCAATGATTTAATGAATCAGGCCGAAGAGATGAAAGCTCCATAAAAACACTGAACTATGGAGTCTGGAGAGCCTTCAGGTTGGTGAATACATCCATATGCTAGGAGGGCGGTGCACACCAACTCCAGGGGGACAGAAGCTTCTACACTGGAGACCCTTCCAGATCTCATCCTATGTATCTCTTCAACTAGCTGTTCATCTGTGTGCTTTATAACATTTTTTTAACAATAACCCAGTAAAAGCAAGTAAATGTTTCCCTGAATTTTGTGAGCCAGTCAAGTAATTATCGAACTGAGAGAGAGTTGTTGGAAGTCCCAACTTTGTAGCCAAGTTGGACAGAAGTGTGAGTATCCTAGGGATCCATTACTTGCAATTGGCATCTGAAGTGGGGAGCAGCCCTGGGGGACTGAGCTCCTAACCTGTGGGGTCTGTGCTAACTCCAGATAGTTAGTGTCAGAATTGAATCAAATTGTAGGACACCCAGTTAGTATCTGCAGAGAATTGCTTGGTGTGAGAAGAAAACATATTTGGTGTCAGAAGTGCTGTGAGTAGAGGAAACAGATTTCTTTTATCTATGTATCCATAACTGGAGTTACAGAAGGAGAGAAGATAGAATGAGAGATAGACAATATTTGCAAAAATAACGGCTGAAAATTTCCCCAAATAAAAAAATTTAGATTCCAGAGGTAATGAAATACAATAAATCTGAAGAATAATAATCCAAAGAAATCCACACCTAAGTTCATCTAGTGAAACTTCAAAATGGGAAAGACAAAGCTATGAAGAGCAGCTTGGAAACATCACTAAAGTGAATGAAATGCATGTTGCTAGAAGTTTTCCCACCAGTAACAATAAAATATAGAACTTCACGATTCTGTGTGGAAGTATCTACGTGGAAATTTGTATCCCAGAAAAACAATCTTTCAAGAGTAATTGCAAATTAAAAACATTTGACATAAACTAAAATAGAGAGTTTACCACCAACCAACCTCAATAAAGAAAACTGTAAATGATCTATTTTAGGAAGAAAAAAATGATCCTACAAAGAACACCTGTAGTCAGAAACAAATGGTGAAAGCGGACATGGGTAAGTAAAGCATACGTGTAACAAACTTTGAATAAAAAATAAATAATTTTTAATTTGTGTGGTTAAAAAAATATAAGATAAACTAAAATCTGGACAAATATAACCTTTTCAGCTGGCATTTACAGTTGAAGTGTTCCAAGGTCTATTATTATTTGTAAAGAGAGTATACAAATATTAAATTTAATGGTAGACTTTGTAAGGTACACCTGGCAAAATCCAAATTTAACCACTGGAAAAACAGACATAGAATACATATTTTACAAATTTATGGAACAATGTGAACTTTAAAAAGAAAATATCGTACCAAATCAAGGCAAGGGAAAAGAAGAGGAGCGTTGAAAAAGTGGGAAGGCACAAAATAAGATATCAGAAAGATATCAAAATATACTGATAATCACAATAACTTTAAATAGATTAAATGTACCATTTAAAGTTGATTAAATATACTATTTTAAAAATTAATATAATATTCAATAAAAATAATTCAGATACATGCTGTTTATCAGAAACACATAGAAATATAAAAATTTAAAAGTTTAAAAATAAGTTGAGGACATGGAAATGTTAAAAATAAATGGTTCCAAAAATACTAAAAAAAATACTTACAAAAAGAAAGCTAGGAAGAGTCATGTTAATATCAAACAAAACATATTTTAAAACCAAAAAAGTTACTAGGAGAACATGAAGTCATTATAACATGATATGCTTTAATAAAGCAAGAGTTGATTATAATTCAAAGTTTTTATATATCAAATTAAAAAGCCTTAAAGTACTTGAGAAAATCTCAAGGAGAAATTGAAAAATCCAGGATAGAAGTGTTGTTAATGTTACTAACATAATAATTACAGTGTAATTACATTGCAATATAGAAAGTACACTGTTTCAGTGTTTCTCACATTTTAATGTTCACGTGAGAACCAACTAGAGATCATGTTAAAATGTAGATTCTGACGGAGTAGAACTGGCATGGAGACTGAGATTCTGAAGTTATCACAAGCTCCCACCTGATGCTGATGCGGCTGGTCAGTGGGTTACAATTCAACAAGCAAGGACACTGGAGAGGGGAATCCTCTCTGTAAGGAGAGTCTCAAGGAGTCCACTTAATGATTCCATTTGTATCAATACAGATAGTTTCCCGGAGGCAGGTTGTGTCTGGAAGGAACAGAATTGGTGACAAGGTGATCCCGGGGAGAGGTGTGTGGACAGATCTATGGGATGAGCATAAAGTGCGCCAAGTGAGTGCCTCCAGAAACCGTCCACCGCAGAGGAGGCATTTGACAAACAGGTGGAAAATAGAGCTTATCTAGCAGATGGCAGCAGGTCTCTGTCCCTGACTCTCTGAGAGTTTGTACAGTGGGTCTATGAACAGAGTGGCCATAAGCAAGGAGGCTATGCACTGGCCCAGCCACGCCACTTCTCTCTCAAGAAGGCTAATGTAACTATTGCCACTTTAGAATAACTAACTTGCTAGTAGCAAAAATTGAGGTTGAGCCCTTGATATGGAACCATCCCACAAGGAGACCAGGTAGTTCCTCAGCAAGAAGTGGAACCATCCCACAAGGAGACCAGGTAGTTCCTTAGCAAGAAGTCAAACACAAAGGACCTCCTTCTACCCTGAAGGGGGCAGCAGTGTAAATTCATCTGAACTGCCTTCTGCTCCAGATAAAAATTTTCTTTCTCTGCCTGTAGTGCTTCTGCCCACATTCCCATCCAACAGTTTAGGAAAAGCTTGATTTGTTGAAAGGTTATCAATAACTCATAACATCCCCTCAGTGGAAGGACTTATTTTATGGTAAAATAGGTGCATCAATGGGTCCATGACCAAAGACCAGTTAGAGGCCTGTAATGGCCTATTGAAGGTCCAGTTACAACAGGGATTGACAAACGTTTACTGTAAAGGGGGGCGTAGTAAATATTTTAGGCTTCACATGCCATAGGATCTATGGTAAACCTACTAATTCTGAGCCAAAGACAGTAATAAAAGAATGGTAGAATCTGTGCTCCAATAAAACTTTATTTATAAAAATTAGTGATGGACCAGATTTGGCCCTTTGCTGTAGTTTGATCTTGGAGCTTCAGCACCATCTTGGGAATGACCCTCCATCATTTGGGCTTTATCCTTTAGAATGTGCTATATGAAACTAAACCAACAGTTGTATATATCTAGCAGTATGACACCCAGGGACGAAGGGGTGAAAATATGATTGACACTTCTCACCTTCATCCAAGCAACTTACCTATGGAGTTCTGGCTGCCAAGCCTTGAAAGCTTAGACAATGCTGGATTTAAGGTGTTGGCTCCCAGGGTGATGAATGCTTTCAACAGTGTGGCTCAGTAAGAGTTCTATTGAAACTGAAGCTCTGGTTATCATCTGGTTACTTTGGACTCCTCATGATGGTGGCCTAGCAATCAAAGAACAAAGTTACTACGTTGGCAGGAATAATCAATTCTGATTATCACAAGGAGCAATGATTTCTGCTAGATAAAGATGGCACCAGAGCATATCATGTTACTTCAATTCCCAATGAAAATAGTGAATGTGCAATTTCAGCAACTATGGTTCTATTAAGAGAAGGTAATCAAGAACCCAGATTTCTTTGGGTTGAAAGTCTGGGTCAAACTACAGGAATACAACCTAGATTACCATAAATTCTAGCTAAGGAAAGGAATATCTAGAATGGATATTGGAGGAGAGACATTATGAATATCAATTATGATCAGGTAAACAATTGCAGTTGCAGGAACTGAAGCTTGGTATACTAACCTTCATATGTTATATATTTCGTAAAGATTGCAGGCCATTGCCATGAATACTCCACAATAGCAAAAATTTAATTAGGTCACAAATGGATTTGATTGATGCAAAGAATGGACTGTATCAAATGCTTTTGTTTATTCTTAGTATCACCTCTGATTTCAGTTATGTAGTGGATAGTTCTGTATGTGTATTGATACTCTTCTTGCCAGAAGTAGCCCACTTAAAGAACACACTACATGGCTTCATTTTCTGCCTGAGTTCCCTCCAGTGTTGTGGCCATTGGTGGAAACTTATTTGGAATGTGTGTATGAGCAGCTGAGAAATGTGGGGGAGATAATATTCCCATAGGCAGTCATTGGTTAAAGGACACCGAAGGTGATAGATGTATGTTCCCACCTTTCATCCTCTAGGTAGCTATGTCTCACAGGTCTTCTGGACAGGTCTCTGGACATTTTAGCACAGCTGGGCCCCTATAACCCACTGTGGTGTTTTGGATAATTTACATTTACACTGACATTCCTGCCATCCATGCATCAGTCTGCCTCGTTCTTCCTCCCTGCTGTTGGGCTGAGCTCCAAAGGAAACTCCCTGAATCAACATTTTGCCTCAGCTTCTACGTAGTGAGAAAATAATCTAAGAAAACTAGTAAAATTAAAATGCCTATAATTTAACGTAAAAGCGTTTAAAAAGATAATGAGAAAGGACGACTACATTTATAAGATTAAATTTGGAAACTTACAAGACATGCATTCTTAAACTGAAACAAGAAGAAATTGACCACCTGACCAGTTGTATACCTGGAAAAGAATTGATTGAATCATTCGTATAACATTCTTCCATGGGAGGAAAACAAAAACAAACAGAAACAGCCTCAGTCTGTTCAAATATTAAGAATATTTTTGAAGAGTCTGTCAAAATATTAAGAGGAGGAAGGAAAACAGAGAGAAATGGTAACTTTTCAAATTTGTTAAACAAGTTGGTAAAACTCTGACATCAAAACCATACCAAGTTCTCTTAACCAAGTACTTTGATTACTAATATAACTTTCCACGTCAGCATACTAAAGGAGAAGAAAATCATGTGCTTTGTTTCAATGGATTTAGCAAAAGCATGGATAAATTTCAACACTCATTCATCATAGAAACTTGATATAAAGCTACAGACAAAAGGGAAACTTCTTGAACTTATAAAGGATAATTATTGAAAACCTAAAACAAACATAATACTTAATGAATATTTAAAGCATTTTCTTTAAGGTCAGACATATGTGTGCCCACTATCTCCAATTTTATTCAACATAGTACTTTAGGTCTCAGCTAGGATGATAATAGACATGAAGAAGATATAAAATATGGGGGCCGGCCCTGTGGCACAGCAGTTAAGTGCACACATTCCACTTTGGCGGCCCGGGGTTCTCCGGTTTGGATCCCTGGTGCAGACATGGCATCGCTTGGCATGCCATGCTGTGGTAGGCATCCCACATATAAAGTGGAGGAAGATGGGCATGGATGTTAGCTCAGGGCCAGTCTTCCTCAGCAAAAAGAGGAGGATTGGCGGCAGTTAGCTCAGGGCTAATCTTCCTCAAAAAAAAAAAAAACCAAAATAAATTATAGATAGAGAAACACACTAATATTTAAAATTGATGTGATTATATTTAGAAAGCCAAAATAGTCCCAAAAAAAGTTACCAGATTTAATATTTTATTTTAGCCAGTGTATTTACAATGTTAATTATTGTAAATTATTAGTAACTCTGCATTGTTAAATTTAATTTTATTGAAATTTATGCTATTAGTCAGTGTCATCCAGAATATAATTGCTTCCCAGAGGAACTTACAATTTTATTGTAAATAAAATATTATATAATGCTTTTCATCATTTTAGCATGGATTCCTTTTATTTGTCTGAAAAATTGAGCCGCTTTCTGCCACCACCTCAAGGATTCTTTTTATAAAGTAAGAATTGAAAATGTTGAAATGGAGTCATTCTTTTTATTAAATAATAATTAAGAATAACAAGCAAGAAAGGAAAGTCACCAATGAGCCTTTTAAGAATCACAGCAAAATTCAATAATTCAAAATGTACCCATAACTACAAAACATCTTCTATATTTAAAATTCACCAGTGCGATAGATTCTGGCGTGATAGTTCTACTAGCAATGTTTCTCCATATTAAACAGAATCAGACATTTTGTTGTCATGAGTAAAAATAATATCTTCGAGAGCAAGATGCTTATAGATTGGCAATAGTGGGTTATTATACAGCAATATCACTAGAACTTGAAATATATTTGTGACTACTCTAAAGTTTTCTCTAGTAACTCTTGTTTTCCTGCTTTAAGAAGAAAGATATAGTGCTCTTGTACTGAACAAAGTAAATGATGTTTCATGCCGGGCACCTCCTCTTACCTGCCAAGTGATGCGCTAGTTTACAAAATCAGGGGGTTTTATTTTTGCAGTAGATAATTGATAGGAAAGGATACTGAATAAAAGGAAAAATAAGACGTGAAAGAAAGACGTAAGATCGAATTGGGAGATGAAAGTATTAGAGGAGGAAATGGTGCTGCGTGTGAGGAATGGTGTTCCCTCATCTCCGCTCCGTGCCTCTTCCAGCAAGTGTGTCTCCCAAATGCCCTTAGGGATAAAGATCTGGATACAAATTACATTCAGTTGTGCAAGACGTGGCAGATGAAAGTGAGACGAAGGCCATCTTGTGGCAGCCAGGTCGTAGAGATATTGGGGATCTATGGTAGCAGGGGCCATGTGGCTAGTGTTGTCACCAGTGTCGTGGTGTGAGGGGCAGTTGGTGGTCTTGTAGTAGTGCTTGCAGCAGAAGTGGGCTGAACACTGAACTGCACATAGGGGGCCGTGGCCTTTAACTCAGTAATGCAGTGGTTAGCCCAGCTTCTGATCCTCTAGATCTTTTTAAGGTACTTGTGTACACTTACTGCCCTTGATTTGTCTAGTGTGGGTATCCATTTGCTGTGCTAATTTCAGGCTGATTCAGGGAAGGGTGACGTCCTGCTGCTTGTTTAATTTCTCTTCATGTTAAGTGGATGTGGCGCATGAACTCTTCCACTGAAACTGGGATAGCTCTTTTTCCACTGAAGACAGTTTTTCTCAATAATGTAATGCATCTGTTTTTGGAGAAGGCTTCGGCTAATGCTGAATTCTACACCTCTGCAGCTTCCTAAAATTATAACACTGTTGTTCTTATTTAAATACAAAGCCCAATTTGGGTAAAAAGGAAAGCAGCCATATCTCAGGCATCAGGTCATCCCCTGGTTTGGTGATATGCCAGCCTTCAGCACAGGTCTGCCAAGTATTCATCTCTGTGTGCCACGACTAAAGCGTTTGCCAAACATTCCAGGTGTCAATTGCTTTACTTATGCTTTGTTGGAAAGGATAAAAAGAAATGCACTAGGAAATATTGCCAATTAAGAAAAATAGCTTTTTTAATGGGGATGTATTATTTTCTCCTTCAATTCCACTGGGTACTTAGTTTTCAGATTTTCATATGTTTTACAGATTCAAAGATAATTTTCCAGTTTGGCATGTGCATAGTTTGGCTACATTTGAATATGTGCATAAGAAAATATGTTTACTGGACAGATGAATCTCGGTTTCTGCCGTATCGTCATCCCTGTATGAGAAACCTGCTCCATCCCTACCACTGGCTGAGGAGAGCCCCAGAGTGGCCCTACTTCATAATCAACCCCAAGAGCTACGCGTAGTAGGTCTGCTGTGGGCTCCTGACACAACGACAGGTAACAGAGACTGACCAGGGCTCCTCTATAAGCTGTCTGGTATTTAAAAATCTACCCACACGAGGATGATGACAATTGGGTTGGCCAATGAGATATTTTTCTCAGGAATTTGAACTGGTCCCAGTCTATTAGCAGCTGGAAAAGTGAGAAGACCTACAAATTGAAGCAGAGAAAGCTCAAGAATTATGCCTATTTTTTCCTCAACTTTGAGGGTATGATTTGAAAATGTCTCTCAAAACCACTGAAACGATTACCAGTGGATCAAATCCATTAATTTATTTTAAAATTTTAAAAATATCTTTTCATTTGAAACCATCCTAGAATATTGCTCTTGTAGTCAGGATTTTAAAAACACCTTATGATTGGCTCACAATAGCCACGGTTCAATTTAAATTGCTCTAATTGATTGACATGAGATCTTAATTCCATATTTGAATCCATCATACTCTCTCAATTACGCATCTGGATGGTGCATAACACTATAGCATTTTGTATCATATGTGTAAAATTCATGATTACAAACTACGTGTATGTACAGGTATTAGGCACAGCTTGCATATCTTTAAGTATCTGACATAAAATGTATACACGTGCATACACACACACACACACACAAGGAATGATGGCTGTTTCTGCATTGCTTTTGGTTGTTCCCTGTCTTCATGGCATGTCCATATTCTCGGTACATTGCAGGATATACTTCCTATATATCTCACATTCAAATTTACTCCAGGTTGAGACATCATTATCGTTCGAATGAGATAAATTTTACTAAGGTATATACCTCTTTTTCTCTGAAAAGTTTGCCTATTCACCTAAGTATGTACAACAAAGAGCTATGTGGAAGCCATGGGATTCCAGCCTAGCCTGCCAGATCTGCTTACTCAACTCTGGAACGAAATGGAGTGACAGTTGTCCAAGCTGGATCACACTTATATTCTCATCGAGTCAGTTAATCTTGTTCAACCGTTATTATGAAGAGTGAAAAGGATCCTACCTTCTGGCAGCTAGCAGTGTGGTTTGGAAAACAAAAACATATATAAAGAGATATAATCCCATACAGGCCACAATGAGAATTAAAGTAGAATTACAAATTACAAAGGCAGAAGAAGGGAAGAAAAGATTGTTTTTGATTGGCAAAGACTTGGAAGCCATGCGACTTGAGTTTGACTTTAAAGGATATGGAAGATTTCATTGTTTTAAACTTTGCAAGCAGATTGCGCATTTTATCACTGCTAATATGCACTATTCCAGTTCTTACTTAACTCATTTCTGGTTGGTCTCTCTCCTACGCCCATCATACATTTATAGATAATCCAAAATTTTACAGCATATCCGTTTTGCCCCATGTTTCTCCCATTACACAAAATCCTTCTTCATTTGGTAACTAGTTTGTAAATTCTGAAAAGAGCGTTAAGATATTTATAACCTTCTTCCTTCGTATTTCCTATCACTCACTTCAAGATTTTGGTAAAAAATATTATTCTAATTTCCCCTAATGTACTATTAATAAAATGCCCCATATACTAAGCAATTTATGCATAGCTTTTATTTCCAACTTTGATAAGTTACATTTGATTCATATTTATTAGATCCCCTTTATGTATGTTCTACAGAGTTTTTTGCATTTTTTTAGTTCAGTATATTATGAGTCAAGAATTCTACGCTAATCACAAGAAAGCATCCCTCTTGTGCTGTAGCTTATGCTTGTCTGTGGCAAAAAGGAAAAAGAGTGTGTGCAAAGCAAACATTGAGACATTTCCAGCCAGTACACTACTTTCAATTATTTGATATTTGTCAAAAGAGTTACAGACCTGAATTATTCAGATAATTTCCCAAATGACATTTTAAAGTGAAGCAAAATGTCACATGCTAATATGTTCAGAAATGGTCTGTCACCCCATGTCTAGTTTATTAGGCGTTGAACAATGTCACTAATTCTTCCAAGATATAATGATATCATTTATTGCATTATCGTTGCAGTACATCAAGGATGATCCTAGAATTATCTTAAACTATATTGAATTGAATTTTAAATTCAATTATGTTGCAAGTTTTATTGTCTCAGGTAAAATACTAATTTCCTTGAACTGTGTTTTGCAATCTTGTTCTTGAGGTCCTAAAGCATTGTTTTGTCCCCATTGGCATCTTACCTTATTATATTTGTACTGTCTTTAACACCAATCCTAATTTTTAATTATTATTAATATTGTGTAATACATTCTAAATGGTAACTTAGCGGCTTAATGAATTTTAGAAATCTCCCTGGGCTCCTCATCACTACCAGGGAGGAACTTTTAGAGAAGAATAACATTTCTTGATGTGTGCTCCAATCTAGAAGTCCCCCCACAATGTGCGAAACTATGAACTAAAAATATTGCAAACATGAAATAAATTCTTGAGCTTTGAGAAGAGTTCCTTCCAGATTTTTATCAATAATTTCAGTTTTATTCATGCACATTCTTGAAGTGCGTTTCAGTAAACAGCTCGTTAAATTGCACTGGTGTGGAAAGTTAATATTCACTCCTTCGGGGTTTATTGGAATTGGTTCTGTGCTAACCTTGATTTGTCAGGACTTGAAATGCTTCTATGATACAGATAAGGTCAGAAGATAAACAAGGTTTTGACCATAACCTGATCCAGAGATAGGCCCAGTGAGACTCCAAACTGTCTTGGCATTCCTCCCCCCATTCCTGAGTATAGTTGAAATGAATTTTCTCAGCAACCACAGAATCCTCATACACTCCCTAAGTGGAGATCCCTTTAAGTCTGCCACCAGAAGAAAACTGTAAATGAAAAATAAATGAAGTATTTGTCTATATAGAAAAAGACAGTACACAAAAGGAAATAAAGACTATAATAAAAAAAGAAACAAAAAGTGTGAAAAATATGACACAGGATAAAATATATAACTTTATGGCTACATCTATAATTTTTAAATAATATATTTATAATATGGAGATATCACTCTACATATTTTTGTCAAAAAATAATGGTTGTTGCATACTCTTTTCAAACAAGAAAAAAATTCTTGGAAAGAATCTATAAGTTTAATAGGATGTAGATTAAAACAAAAAAATTAGGAGTTTTCTGTAACAGTTCTTTTAAAATTTAGAAAAATTCAGAGGGGATATTTGTTCTGTTGAAATTATACATAAAGCTTCACAATGTGAGAAATGATAGGGACTTGAGGATTCATCTAGACATTTTTAGGGCTTTGAGTGATAGAGGAAAGACTAGAATTGTGTTTCCTACATCACAGAACAATTTTCTTCCTTTACATTAAGATGCCCTTCAGGGAACAAGTATAAGGTCAGAGACAAAATCAAATACAGAAGCAAAATACATATATACATGTATGTTTTTACACATGTACACATGTTTGCAATGGTTACATGTAACAGCAATGGAATAGAAGCAATTCTGTGTGATTAATGGTTACCAATAGATAATGCAAAGTTGACGCCCTGGAAACCTTTTGGTTCCCCCAAGTGTCGTTAAAATCACTGCGTCGTTAAAGTCATCGTGTCCGTGTGGGTATGTATGTATGTGTTTAGGGGGGTTTATATTGTTTTATTTTAATCATTGACTCCATCAGTTGATAATTGCTCACCTATGAAAAGGCTCAATTATCATGATAAAATCGCTGATTTTTTGTCAAATAGAAGTCAAAAAACATATCATGATATAAATTCAAATACTGAGATATGGTTCTAAAATTCATTAGGATGTCCTGTTTTTCTTTATTTATAGCTGATTTCCTAGCAAACCGGTTATCACAGTAAATTTATAAGACAAAGAATATGGACTTTACAACAGAAGATAATTCTCCAGGCAGTGGTTGCTGCTTGTCATGAAATTTCTTTCAACTGTCAGAGCATATTTATGTGCACCAATATTGTAAACTTCCAAGGAAGGAAACAACTTTTGACAGTTCTGCTGACATGTCTCATCTGATTTAACCAAATATATCAGAATACCCAAGTCATTACCTAATTTTTAGATATTTCATAGATGTGAAAACTCTTTTACAAAGTATAAAAATGGCTAAACTTATTGAGACTATTCCGAAAAAAAAAAAAGGCTGATAATATAAGATTACACTATTTGATCAATAGGTGACGATGTTTAGAAATGATATCTTCCTTGCCAAATTCCCCACAAATCTAATAAGTGACATAACCAGTTTGTTGTTCCTATGGTGTAACTTCTTTCCAGAGCATGGAACCCAAATTATATTGCATATTTAACCCAATTTTATTTTCTAATTTATCTTTTCTTTTGAACAACCCTTTTTTAAAAAAAATAAGAAGTGAAATAATTGAAATATATTTGTAAATTTATTTCCTTCTCATGCATTAAAAAATTTCAATGAAAGGTTTTGATTTTCATTTTTATTTCTACTATGTAATTCTTCAGTGATAAAATATTCTTTTTTCTGTATGAAAGGTATGTTGTTTTCCTAAATGTAAATTATAAAACTAACTCATACAGTATTTGCTTAATTTAATCCATCTGGATCAATAAGTGATGATGTTTAGAACAACGGTATCTTCTTTGTTGATTCCGTGTACATATATGTGTGAAATAATTTTAGTGTTCCCACGGAGTTTCTTTCTAGATCAGAAAATAACTCAAATCATATTATGTGTTAGATCTAATGTCATTTTCTATATTTATATTTTAAGAGTAATTATAAATTACATATAAAAAGTCCATTAGAACCAATGACTAGGCCTTTCCACAATGCACTAAGCAAAATGTATAAGTAAGAAACTATAGCCCAGATTCAGAGGCTTCTTGAGGGAATTCCCATATTGCTTTGTGTTTGACTTTACTGTAAGTTTTACCGTGGTTCAAAACTAAAAAACACTATGAATTTGACCACATTCTTGAAAGTTTTAAAAAATATTCAATAGCTGTTTTAAATTACTCTTTCATTATTCATAATTCTAAGGTCTTTAGAAAGTAGTATTTTAGAAATCTGTAAAAAGGACAGTTCTCTTTCAAGTTCTTCCTCTTTCCAAGATAAGATGGCTGGATACAGGGTAAGAAGATATTTTAAATAATGCATAAGCTTTTTAGGATAAATAATTTTGGAGACAAAATAAGAGTAGACAAACAGAAGCAAGTTGGGGAAAATAGTCTTTAAATGTTAACTTAAAAATCTGGTTCAAAATGAGAAGTTCAACACGCATTTTTACCTTTCTTCCTCAAAAATCCTACTGATGTAAGGATGTAGCCCACGGTCTATCATTGGGCCAAGTACTTTATAGTTTTCTAAAAGTGAAAAGAATTAGAATGGAATTACGTATAATTTTCCTAGGGGAAAAGAGATGGAACTCACTCTTTCTCTGGCAGAGACTCTTTAAGCCTGGAATCCACATGTGTAAGGCCAGCCTTGGGAAAGGGAGTAGAAACCACCCACATGTCTAAGGCCAGCCTTGGGAAAGAGAGTAGAAACCAGAAATTTCCTGAGACTTCTGAGACCAATGAGTAGGTCAGTCTCTACCCAACCCCCCTCCTCAGGCCTGTGATTGCAAAGCTATTGGCAACAAGATATTGTTCCTAAGCTAACAAAATTGCAAAGTTATTGGCAACAAGACTTGTTCGTAAGTAAAGCTAAGCCATCTTAAAACAACGACAAAAACTTACCAGTTTTCCTACGGAGAGCCAGGGCGCAGGTCCTGTGGCCTTTGAGAAAGCTTTCTTATTTTGACTTGAGAGCTGTGATTGTGAAGTGATGAAGGGAATTTTCCCTTCTTGCTTCTTGCAATTTATTCTGATATGAAGCCAATTCTATGCACATAATAGAATTTTCTGTCAGTGCTCCCATTTAAGGGAGGGGGATAGGCATAGATTTACAGAAATGGAGCAGAGGAAACACAACCTAAGCAGTGGCCTCAAGGGAGCGTGACTTGTGGGAGGGAGGGATGGGTGGGAGATCATGTGACTCTTTTCACTGGGCATAAATACGCCTTGTTTTTATAATCATGATAATAACTCACATTGGGAGAAGTACAGAACATAATTATATTATAAAAACAAAATGGGAAAAACCTCCCTTTGTATACATTTTACAATATGAAACTTTGATTTCGTGAAATCATCTTCCGCTCAAAAGCGGCAATTCTTACCTTGCAGACCCTTACATGGATTGCATTTTACAAGTAAGTATGATTTTACTCCCCAGTTACAGCTATAGTAGAGGAAACGCTTATATATGTATTTAGAACAAATATTTACAGTATTTTAAAAGTAAATTCATGATGGTCACATGCAGAAAGTGCATAATTATGTGGTAAAAACCAGCAGAAAGAACGTTTCCTGGCAATTAGGGTCTGATAAAAATAACAGTACTAAAGTCACGTTACCTTTGCCAACAGGCTATTTTTAGCATCACAGGAAATGTCTCCTCATCAGTAGTGACTGGTATTAGAAATGTTGGCACAACTGCTTAAACAAACACACTTATGTGTGGAATAAGGTTGTGCTGAAGTAGAAATTCCCTGGAATGAAGTACCATAAGAAGTTCAGGCTCTCTCTCCACAGCAGGGCTCTCGACCTCAGCATGATTGACATTTTGGATCAGAGAGTCCTTTGTTGTGGGGGAGCTGTCCCGTGCATTGTTTATCAGCATTGCTGGCCTCTACCCACGAGATGCCAGTAGTACTGCCAAGTTGTGACAAACAAAAATGTCTCGAGACAGTGCCAGATGTCCCCTGGGGATAAACCACCCCAACTGAGAACCATTGATCCATAGCCTTTAAAGACGCCCTTTAAATATCTTTATTAACATGTGCTCTATTCCGTACAGCCTGAGGTTCTCTTGGACTACTGTTTAGACACTTAGAAGGCCACAGCCATTTTCAGAACACAAGTAATCTCTTCCTAATCTAGGGGGTCTTGTAGCCAGCTTCCGAATTTCCACATGGTTATAAAAGAAGACAGAGAAAGAATTCACTACCATGTTTTAGTTGCCATTGTTATTTACCACAGAAGAGTCTGAAAGAAAAAGCAGGTATAGGGAGGAAAAAAAACATACGTCTTTGCCTCTCTCCTCCCCCCAAGTTATGTATTCAGAGCTGTGTGGATCTCAAAAATGACGCCTAGCTGCACTACTTTACGGCACCTCAGGATTCGGTTCTCTGTTTGTAGGAAAACACTCAATAGAAATATTTTTTCTAGTTTTAAAGAAAAATATTGGTGCTTCTCTCATTCACAGAATTAGGCATTTTTAAAGGAGGTCATGTTTATGAGAATCATATTTGTAGTGGTAGTCATGTATATCTACTGTATATCGAGCATTCTAATAATGTTTTAGGTACTTTTCACACATTAACTTATTTATTTATCCCTCATGGCAAATATATAAAGTAGCATTATTTTCCCATTTTACAAATGAGAAAACAGAAGAGTAAGAGACTAACCAGTCGCACCAAGATTCACACCTGGACATTCTGGCTCTGGAATCGATGTGCACTGAATCTTCTGTTCAGTCTCTCACCGTGTTATGCTTCCTCTCAATGAAAATACCTATGCCAAGCACTGTGCGGAAATGCATTATACACATTATCTTATTTAATCCTCACAACAACTGTACAAGTTGCGTATTGTCACTTTCTAAGTATTTGCAGATGAAGAAATGAAAGCTCAAGGAATTAATTCCTTCACTAGTCACACATTCAGTAAACGGTGGAGCTTAGGACTCAAATCTAGGTCTTGAAGTCTTCAAAGGCATTTAACATCTATGGATCTTAATTTTTGTCTAAATTTAGAAAAATCAAATAGGTTACATTGAAGACTTTGTCCAGCTCTAGAAGTCTGAGTTTTGATATCCTAAATGGTTCTTTGCTAAAATTTCAAACTAAATTTTAGAATTAATTTACAAGACAGTATTATGTGTAAAAATTATTTTGCATATAAAGCAAGGACATTAGCCTATAATCCATCAAATATTAATTCTTTTTCAGGGGAAGATTCACCCTAATCTAACATCTGTTGCCAATCTTCCTCCTTTCCTCCCTCAAAACCCTGGTACAAAATTGTAAGTTCTTCTGGTCTTCTACGTGAGCTGCTACCAGAGCATGGCCATCTACAGACGAGTGGTGTGCTTCCACACCTGGGAACCAAATCTGGGTAGCCAAAGAAGAGTGTGCCAAACTTTAACCATTAGGCCATCAGGGTTGGCTCAGATATTAATTTTCTTATAGCTACCATATTTCACCGTACAGATGTCAATAGGGAACCCACAATTAGGTGGACACAAAATCAGGTCAAAAAGGAGAAGAGATATAAAATACTGATATCTCAGTTTATATGAGAAAAGGAGTAAAGCAATGGGGCATAATGAACATCAGAATGGATTGTAGAATGTTAACTGCACAAGTATCTGGATTCCTTTTATGTCCCTATGATAATTTGTTCATTAGGAATATTGCGAGGTGGTTTCAGTTCATAAAATAACTGTAATTAGAATTGCTTATATTAGTGATGACATTGATAATATTAAGAACCACATGGAATTTTATAGATGTAATATTTCACACTTGAAGAACACATTTAACATTTTGTAACTTTTGGTTTATAAAAGAGAAAGGAATTCATCCTCAGCTCAAATTATTACTAATCTGATTATCGAGTGCCTTATTGAAAAGTCAGAGGCATATAGGACTAGAATGGTTAAGGTTAAGGATATTATTGTATAATGAATGGTTAAAGGAAGAGGGAATGCTTAAGCCAAAGAGAATCTTTAGCCTGCCCCAAAGCAACCTGACAGCAGAAGTCTTCAGAGAAAGGAGTGGGAACAGTCGTTATTGGGTACAAACAGCAATGGGCGCACTGTTGGTGGAGGATTCAAAAATGGTAACAACACTGATAAAAAGGTGGTCCTAACTCTTACTATCACCATACACTGGCAGTTCTAAGCAATGCCAACAATAAAATATCCTCCCTAAAGAAATCTTTGTTAGTGTAAATTCTAAACAATCCTCTTCATTCCTGCTGAGTTTTGATTATATATATGTTCCAAAATAACATATTTTTATTACTTATGCTTCAGGAAACATTATATACTACATCTAAGTTAATTAGAAAATTCCCAGTTACATCATCATCTTGAAAGTAGAGACTCAGCTATATCTGACCTTTTTGAAATAATTCTTAAGGGTTCAGAATCATTGGCTATGGCATCTGGTGCAGCTTGTGTCTCCAATCACTGTGGTACCACATAGCCTTGCTTTTAAACAGTAATTTCGTATGAGTAATGATAGCACAATTTAAAACTAAGAAGTAGAATTCGAGTTACTTCGGATCTGTCATTTCATATGACATCTTAGAGTTTTTATTTGCCTTTAAAATTTTGGACATTTGAAAGCTGCTAGAACGAACCTAAAACACAGAAGCATGGACAGGATTGGAACTTCTGAGATTTATCATGAAATTGGAGTTTCAAAAATCTCTGCACAAGTTATCCTTATGATTAAGCCTTTTCCTAAATATTTGCACATCTGAAGCTTCATGCAAAAGGAACTTTTCAAACGTGAAATTAATAAAAATTATTCTTTTATCCCTGTGAGTGATGATAGGTTGGCAAATTTGTCTATACTGTCTGCTGAGCGTGAATATGTCAAGAAGATCAATTTTGACAGAGATAGTGACAAATTTGCAAATGTTAAGCTAAAAACAGAAGCTGTATGGTTTTCATTCATTAAGGCAACCAACCAACATATAGGCATAAGTTTTCCCCTTTATCAAAACTACGTTAATGTAAAATATTAAAAAATTAGAGTATATTAGTCAAATACTCCTCTCTTTAATGCTGTAATATTTTAATTTTTATATAATTCCATAAGTGAAGTTCAACAAAAGAAACTTTTCAATGACTGCATTTCAGTTCTGGCTATTATTATTTTTTGGCACTTCCTGATTACTACTAAATATAATTTTGTCACATAAAGGCAGGAGCATTAAAAATGATCCATTCTGGGTATTAAATACATTAGATAATCCAATGCTGAAGGTGGGATAAAAGGCAACTTCTAATATTTTTTGGAGACCCATTTTGAATCAATTGGAAAAAAAATTTTCAGCCAATATCAAGTAGGCAAAAGATATGTTTATCCAGTGAGAGCGCATTTCCTTTCTCTGATGAATTCGGGAAGAACCTGCAATTACTTCAGTGAGTTGTGTAGATGGGATTCATACACAGACAAGGACTTTGGGCTGAATGGTCTTCCAACTCTGTTTCAACCCCCAAGATAAAGCACTTCCTTTCTGAGACTTTCTCAAGTAAGAGAAAATAGAATTGTATGTCTAATATGAGAGGGGTACACCTCTTGTCAAGTAAATCTTACTCTTTTACTCTAGTTTCATTGATATAAAACTCCTAGATATATTTCTCAGAGGGACTATAATGACAACGTTATAGTCCTACATATACACAAGGGTGTCTAGAAAAGTAATATTGCAATTGCATTATAATCCAAAGTATTGGGGGGGGGGAAGCAAAATTTGGTTCATTGTATTGGATCAAATGTCAACGATTCCTGTAGCAGAGTATTTGCTTTAGCTGTAGTTGGCCTGTTGTATGTTGCTATTATTCATAATTCACAGAGGTTTCTACAAACACCAATTTAATTATGCTAATTTTTCACCTGCTGTCTCTGATTTTGGTTTTAGCATGTTTTAAAAAAACATTTATATTATTAAAAGAGTATAATGTGAGGTCTGAAATTGAGGCCCAGTATTATGTGCTGCCTTGACATGTGGTGAAATTGGGAGAGCGTCCATCACTTGACCTAACTACAGCTCTCTTCCTCCCTCTGCTCCCTCGGATAAGGTCCCCTAGCCAATCAACCCTCCTTATCAGGAGACCAGGCCCGATTCTTGCTTATCCTTG